TTTGTTTCCCTGGGGACAAGTAACAGCGGCACATCTTGTGCTGCTGCTACTTGTCCCCAGGGAACACCTGTGCCACGTGCACTCTGGCACACAGCAGGTTACCCCGAGTGGGGTAGGGGAGGCTGAGGCCAGCAACTGTGTTGGTCCCAACAGCCTTACCTGGGGTCCCCAGGGAGCTGCATCCACGGCATTCCTGCAGCTGGAAGCCTGGCTGGCAATGGGAGCATGGCTATGGCTGGCCAGGGCAGCATGCTCTGCCACCATGTGTGCTGCCCACTTTTTTTTTTGGCATGGGCTTTTTTTGACCCCAGGATCTCCCTGGGTCAAAAACCCACCTCGTGCTGCAAGGTAGCAGGCATGCCCTGAACTGCATGTGTGATGTCTAGACACGGCCATTGAGTGGAAAAGTTAGGCCTGCTGGACTGGCAAAATCAGTTCCAAAATGATCAACATGCATGTTGATGCCTTTAGTATAGACAATATTTTCCCAGAGGAACTGTATGTTCCCCTCCACCCCAGGAGTCTGTGGAAGCCCCTCTGTGTCAACACCAAGCAGCTAGAAAATACAGTACGAGGCCTGGGCAGGAAAGGTGGGAATTAGCTGCTCTATCAACATGTTCCCCCACAACCTAGGGAGTAGAACTAGCTATGAAAATTAGTGATGTTCTGGTGCTATCTTCCCTTCCATTTTCCCTGAAAGGCAAATGTGCCTATTGTAGCAGAGGTCTTGGGAAGCCAGGAAAGAGGATTGTGGGGCTGTGTGGAGAGTTAGGAACTCCACAGGGATGGTTGATTTTCCTACAGAACCAGTTTTCAAAACTGCAAATAGTAAAGACTGTTTCTTATGTTTCTTTTGTAAGTCCTCTCCCTCGTCACCCTCCAAATTCCTCTCTCTTTCCTTCCACTGTATCATATCCAGGAACCCGTCACCTTTAGTGCCCAGAGGGGAGAATGCTGCAACAATTTGGTGAAATAATCTTGCCTAACTTCTCTTTTCTTCTCCTGGGGGTTTTCTGTGGGAGGGGAGCACTTAGCCCATTAACTCCCATTAATATCTAAGCTCTACTATTAATGGGAGTTGCATACAAAAAGGAAGGAGACTGACCTTTAAGTTCATTAAATAAAGCAAATTTTAAAAATAACTTAGTTAAAAAACATTATAGTGATGAAAATACAAGAACAACTGCATAGACATTAGTAACAGTGATAAAAACAAACTAGCAAATTATTGCTGAGGAAGATTTACCTCACTGGAATATTTGAGCCTCCATACTGATATATGCAATGCAGGGTTATCTTTATATGGCTCCTCTTTCAAAATATATTCTCCTTATAAGAGAGCCTCTTTTTAACTCCCACTGGAGACCTCCTTATAAATGAGGAACTGGTTCTCAAGGGACTGGCCTGGCTACAAAAGCATGTTATTAAAAAAAAAAATAGCAGAATACTAAGCAATATAATTAGCTCATTTCTTTAGTTTTTTTTATCTTTAAAAAATGTATAGCCAGATTTTAATTAAACTTATTCTCTGGATGTTTGAATTGTATAAAACTAAGAAAATTTCTCCTATTTTAGAGGGATTAATTGTATCAATTTAGGGCTCTCATTCTGATCGCAGATATGCAGACAGGTATCACCACTTTTCTTGCAAAAGCAACCACTGTGCCTCATATAAGATGCATGGTAATATGCACCCACCTATCTTAGGTCAGAATCTGCACCTTAGAGGTGCATTCTCATTTCCATGTGTAGGAATTTACACATGTAACTCCAATTGATGCTAATCTTCTTGCATGGGAATGAGCATAAGCCCTTTATTTCAAAACTAGCTAAAGAGACAGATTCAAAATATTATTATTAGTAGTAATAAATGTTAATTTACAGGTGCCTGTGCCTGAAAACCTCTTGGTGCCGTGACAGAAAGTAATTTAAAATATAATTACATTTTTTTTAAAGCAATATGATGATAGGAAAGTCAGGGCCTGATTCTTAAGAGACAGCATTTCCTAGTCATTTCCAGTGAGGGTCTTCTCTTGACTCTCTGTGCTCATAGTTAAGTCATTCAATCTGTCTTTGCCTCCACTTCCCCATCTCCCCCTTTGCGAAGTGTTTTAAGATTTTTTTTTAAGCAACACAAGTGCAAAGTGTAATTACTTTAGTATTTTTATATTACTCATGTACATAGGACTAAAGATTCAGCTGTTTTAATGTATTCCTGCTCGGCCTAAGAGTTCTTAAAATGGAGGGAGGTGAAACTGTTTGGTTTATTCTTTTCAAAGCTTGGCAACTGTCATTTCCTGCATATAGCCCCAAACATCTGAAGCTGGTGAAATTAAATAAAGTGTGAGCATCCTTTGGTCTACAGGTTTCTGCCTTTAAAATAATTCCTCATGGTAACCTTAACAATAGTATATAAAAAAAAATCCCCATAAAAGAATCTGGAGTTCAGATGGAACTCTGCCTGATATCTGAACAATTATGGAGCAGATGCATCCACTCCGAACAAAGTGACCTTTTCATCAAGTTACAAAACATTAAAGGTTAAAGAATGTTTGAAAGGAAGTTAATACTTTTAAAACATTAGAAAAATTGCCATTCTTTCAAGACCTGACCAAAATCTGTGGGAAACTATAAGAGAATATTTAGGAATATAGCATTCATCATTTAAAGCAACACTTTTTATGCAGGAATACAAAATATTTTGCATTATCTGGTTTAAATCAAAACTAGGAATGAACTTTCCTTTAAGGATGAAATGAGATTTGATGGGAATAAATACCCAATGAAAGGAACCTGCTGTAAAGCTGGTTAATTGCAATTTTTAAGTCACATTTCTTTCTCTCTAGTGTGTACAGATGACATGAGTACAAAGAGAGCAAATCAATGATCGTGTCAGATTTTCTTAGTTTCCCCGTTACATCTGACCTGGATGGTGCAAACTCTAGTCACTAGTAACAGAGAAAATAGGACTATCAGTCCTGCTTTATCACTACTCTTCACCTTAATGAGCACAAACAAAAACCTTACAGAAATGGTCTGCTCAAAGTTCTGGGGATGTTGCTCTTATCCTTAAACCGGCCGTGTAAGAGAAGTAGCAAATGCCAATTTATAACGCTTCCAAAGGCATTGTGGTAAGAAATCTGGTGTGCTAAATCCAGATATAATAACTGGAGCTGGTAGATAAACAATTTATTGCCATGCCCGTGTGTTACCTGTGTTTATAATGGTGCATGGAATCACCCCAAATGAGGCCACCGCCCCTTTGGGCTGGACACTGCAAACAGTGAAAGGCAGTCACCGTCCTACAGAGCTGACAGGTATTGAGTAAGAGGTGAAACAGAGACACAGAGGGCATGTCCCATGAGTGGGAATGTGTGTTTGCCTGGGGACAAACACCAGCAGCACAATGTGTGCCACTACTGCTTGTCCCCGGGGAACACCTGTGCCACATGCACTCTGGCACTTGGCACATTACCCTGGGTGGGTAGGGGAGGCTGAGGCCAGTAACTGGGGACCTTTGGGAGCTTCAGCTCTGGCAATCCTGCAGCAAGGAGCCCAGCCGGCAGCTGGAGCAGGGCTCTGCCTGGCCAGGTTCCAATTTTGCGTGGTGTGCGCTGCCACCATGTGTGCCACCCTGGTGCTTTTAGGCATGAGTTTTGCAGCACGGCATACCACACGTCCATGCTCATCTGGATGCACCCAGAGAGGCTAGGTGAGTTCTCCAGGCATGCACAAGATCTGTGGTAGAGCCAAGAGTAGAACCCAGGGGTGCATCCAGATGAGCATGGATGTGGTACAGGCCCATCTGCAGTGCCACATACCAGACACGCGAAGTTCCCTGCACCTAAACCCACACCTAAAAAAAGTGGGGTGGTACATGTAGTGGCAATGCGCACCACCAAAAACCAGAGCCTGGCCAACCAGAGTCACACTCCAGCTACTGGCCAGGCTCTCCTTTGCAGAAGCACCATGGTTGCACTTCCCAGAGTCTCCCAAGACCCAGCCTCCCCTACCCCACCCTGCAGTGCGCCCACTTGCCCTGTACTTAGTGCAGTCTCCTCCTGTTTCCTAGGCCCTGATATGGCAAAACTCCAAGCAAAGCCACTGAGTGGGAGTTTTGCCTGAGTGAGGAACACAGGATTGTGCCCTCTCAGCCTCTCGGGGATGGCTACTGCTTCCTTTGAAATTCTTCCCTGGTCAGGCAGGAGTGTATTTTGCGGGGACTCTGCTGGGTAAAGTGAGAGTTTTGCAAGACAGGGAAGAAGAAACAATGAGAAAGAGGAGAGAAAATGCCATTTCCTTTCCTCCCTTCCCTGTAGTCAAGGCAAAGCCTGGGCCCCCTTCCTGCACTGCTCCCCATGAGCTAAATTCAAACTGCAGAGGCAAGAGGCTGCATGTTGTAGAAGCAAAGTTTACGCAGGGAAACCTGCCCATGTCACAGCCCTTCTGCACTCTGCTTCTCCAGTGCCCAGCTCTACCTGGCAAGGTTCCTCCCTGAAGAAGGTATGCAGCGTGTATGTGAAGCTTTCCCCTATGATGCATAACTGAAGAGGTGCAACATGCCCTGGTTTGGATCCAGTGTCTTCTATAGATACCTTGTTTCTTTCAGGTGGATGCCTAGAGGATAATACTATGTTATTAAAGTATTCCTGCAGGTAGCTGGCAGAGCAGTTTAGGTTGCAGGGATCCTTTTAAAGCAGACCCTGGTTTTGCAGTTTTGTGCCTGTGCGTAAAATGCAGCTGCAAAGAACCACTTCCTTCTCAGGACCAAAGGCTAGGACCAAATGAACTCATCAAGCAAGAAGAGAGTGTCAGCAGCCCCTTAGGCCTGGAGGGCTGATTGCCAGGGGGGCATGGGCAATGAGAGCATTTAGTCATTGCTTTGTGCGATCACGTTCGCATCGCATTATGTCATGCAGAATTACACAGCAAAACAGGGATTTGCCTGGGTGCTTTGACTCTGGAGGTGTCCACTGAGACTACTAAGGGCTGCTCTTAGAAGGAATTAGGGTGGAGGGGTCCTGGGAGGCAGGCACCGCTTCTCCTCCCTTTCTCTAAACTATCTCCTTCCCTTTCAAAGACCCCTGTGGCTATTGCCCTCCAGCTTCAGTGGCCAGGAGCGGAGCTTGTTTGCGGATTGAGAGCCTGCCCAGTTTTGCTCAGGCATTTCAGAAGAGGGTTGCACCCTCTCCCCCACCCCAGTGCAGAAAACGGAGCTGCTAGAGGACAGTCCCAGCCTGCCCCATCAGGAGTTCCTGCAGCGGGAGAAAGGTCCTGGGGCTGGCAGGATGCAACTTGCAGGGCTGAAGGAGGCTGAAAGTGGGCGGCTTATTCTCTCTCTCTCACTAACACACACGCGCACACCGTCAGCAAGGCTGTGTCCGTGTGCATGCTTGCGCAGACATGTACACACGTGCACAGAGTCAAGCTGGTTGTGCCCCCGCCCGGAGCCAGCGAGGTGGCTCTGGAGGCGCGAGGGGCTGCGGCTGCCCCCTCGGGAGCCGCGCTGTGGTTGTCGGAGGCGCACAGGGCACGAGGAGAGGCCACTGCCGCGCCCGCGGCGGTGACAAGCGAGGCTCATCGGCCTGGCCCGGGCCGGGCGGGGGTGGGAGTCCGCG